CCCGAGATACCCCCCCCCCCCCCCCCCCCCCCTTGTAAAGGGAAAAAAGGATTGGCCCTTGGGGGGTTTTTTTTTTCGGGGGGGGGGGGGGGGGGGGGGGGGGGGCGTACTGTAATGTTTTGCATGCATTAGCGGTTAGCGGTTAGACCATTTGCCACGCGTCCTCGAGAGGACGGAGCATTGTTCCCACAGGACCGATCACCGATGGCCAATCGTTCCTTCCTACTTTGCCAAAGGTGGCTCAAAAATGTCTTCCCTAGTCTATCTATCCTAACGATATTCCTTCTCGCCTTTTCAAACCACTTCCTACTCCCCAGTACAGCTACCGTCCTCTCCTCTCTATTCCATGCCTCAAACATCTCCCTGTACCTCCCTTGTATTTTGCCCAGCTCAGCCATGTACACTTCCCTCTCCGCTTCGTACCACTGACATTCCGCGACTACATGAACACGGTCTTCGCATTCGAAGCCGCAATCACATTTGAACTTGTCGTCTTCGTCGTCTACCGTCCAATGTCTTCGTCGACGTTCTCGAAGGCCTATTTCACCGGTCCTGAATTTGACCTTAAGCTTTGTCCCTGCATCCATTGGTCCATTTAGGTAATCCTTGAACCCTATTCCTTCTTTCTCAACATTCCGTGCACTTCTAGACACTCCTTACCCTCGGTGTCTTTCCTTAGATTCTGTTCTTCTCTCTCGGCACAAGCAACAGATATCTTCTCCTTGAACCCCTGTAGACCCTCCGTTTCCAGCGTTTCACCTTCGTCGAATTCGAACCCCTTCCATACGTCCTCTACAACCTTGACCCATTCCGTGGGTTGTCTACCCCTCTTTTTGTTTGCCCACTTCGCCTCCCATACTATTCTCGGCAACCTCTCCTCTCCCATCCCGCACATGTGATACTGCCATGTCAGCTTCCTTGCGTCTCTTCCCGATCGTAGGGATTGGATCCCCCAATTCTGCCCTGACGGATGCATTACTTGTGCGCTTGGAGCATCCTAGGATGATTTTGGCTGCTTGCATCTGCGCCGCCTCGAGTTCTTTCACTACCTTCTTATTTCCTTCCCATACTTCTCCGGCGTACTCTAGCGGCGGTACGATTACGCTCTTCAAAACCGTCAATTTGATGCGTGTATCGAGGTGCCGGTTTGCGAGTATTGAGTGCAGCTTCCCTGCTCGTGCTTTGCCCTTTTCCGCTACCTTGGACTTGTGTGCATTCCACGAGCAGTCTTTGCGATCGCTACTCCGAGGTATGTGTACTGGTCCACTACTGCAATCTCCTCGATCCCCCACTTCCATCTATGTTCTACTGGTTCCTCCCTGTCCTCGTTGCATACCATGATGGCACTCTTCTTAACGTTGGCAGACAATCTCCACTGATCAGTAAACTTCTTCGCCGCGTCAGTTTGCAGTTGCAGTCCCTCAGGGGTGTCCGACATACCAACAAAACCATCCGCAAAAACAGCATTCCTGACGCCGAAGTTTGCGTGTCCCCTGCTTTTACTCCCTTCCGGACTGCCTGCCTCTACGACTTCCAACAGACCGTTGATGAACACCTGGAACAATGGTGCTCTCATGGGAACGCATGCGTTGTACTTCTAGTAGTCGTTTAGACCGTTGACTTCGCTTCCCTACAACGCCGGGACAGAGTGATATGCCGCGTTTTCGCCGGCCCAGGCTACGTTTCAAAAGGATGAACCAGAAGCTGGTAGTGCCACCATCCTTGCATTTGCTGTGCCAAACCAGACATTATGCCGTGAAGGGGGTAGGGAGGGTGACGGTTTCGGTCTCGGATTTTTTTTTTATTATTATTATTATTATTTTTTGTTCTTCACTTCAAATCAGCGCTCACAGCACTAGTGCCGTTTATTCCAACCCGTGGTCACACAGAAGAGCCTCTCTCTACCCTCCCCTCCTGCGGTACTTCGCCTTCAATTTTTATTGCGAGAAGACACTCTCTTCCCTCTGTGTACACACGAACTAGCGCTATCCACTTGGCCAGGAGCGGAAGCGAGAGAAAAACTCACTTTGCAAGAAAAACTCGCCTACGCCGGGATTCGAACCCCTGACCTGACCTCTAGAAGGTTACGAGGCTACCAACTAGACCGGAATGGATGCGTGGGAAAATTCTTGCGTTTGCTGTGCCAAGCCAGACATTATGCCGTGAAGGGGGTAGGGAGGGTGATCGTTTCCGTCTCGGAATGGATGCGTGGGCAAAGTTCATGAGTTCGCCGTGTTGATCTCTCTCCCCTTGTGGCACCCGTCGCCCGCCCCGCAATCAAATGCCTTTGCCGGTAGTTCTCGACCTGCAGAAGTACTTGGACCAGGGGGTGCGGGTGAAGCTCCAGGGGGGCAGGGAGGTGCACGGTGTTCTCAAGGGGTTCGATCCGCTTGTCAACGTCGTTCTGGATGAGTGCATCGAGTTTATCCGAGGTGAGAGGAGAGAGAGAGAGAGAGCCTCAGTGATGTGATGTCCGTTCCTTTTGGTTTTTGTTTCCGACTGCTTGGTATCTGTTGGCGTCGTACGTGCATCACACACAGCACAAGCAGTACGCGTGATGAGCTGGTCAGCACGCACACGCCCTTAACATGGCGTGGAGGCAAGGCAGCGAGCGCTCTAACGTACATTCTCCCGACTCTCGATTTGATCGAGCGAGTTCTCTCTGGTTTCTTCGACGGTCTGTTTGCACCCGCCCTCCCTCCTGCGTAACGCTTCCGCGGCCTGCTAGTAAACATGGCGGCGAATACCTTGTACTATTGAAGAAAACTATGTCGACTCCTCCTCCAAGGAGGTGGACGCGACCAACCTATCAAAACCCCGGCCAATAGTTTCATCGCTGCTATCGTTACTAACGTTGCTAACGTCCCGTTGCACACTCGCGCGCGGGGGGGTGCCCCGTCGCCGATGATACCACCACGGCGATGGCAGGTGCCCAAACCCGCGCCTGGCCCGTGACTGCTTGGGGGCAGACCGCACGGTGGCAGGCTTCAACCTCACTGCTTTTGAGTGTATGCCCTTTCCCAAAAACAATCTCGAAGGCCAAGTCGCGTGTGGATGGCGCGTGTCGAGACGATGTGAATACCATCAGAGACGAGGTATTGTAGCAGCCTGTGTCGTCAGCTTTTAAGTTTCACAGCCCCGGTTTTGTGGCTCCCCGGTAGAGGCAAGACCGAAATAACAACAATTACGTCAATGACGACGACGACGATGACGTCGACGATACCCGCAACCGCAAACCCTAACCATAACCATAACAACGACAACCCATCGTCGTGCCGGCCTCCCTGTCGTTGCAGATCCCACCGACCCTTACAAGCTCACCGAGGAGACTAGAGAGCTAGGGCTGGTCGTGTGCCGGGGCACGCAGGTCAGCCTCATATCTCCGAGGGACGGGATGGAAGAAATCGAGAACCCCTTCATGGCGCCAGAGGGATGAGCGGACTAGAAGGTACCTGCAGATAGTTGAATCGTCTCGCGCGGAGACCCAACGGCAACCCGTGCTGTCAGATCGACGGTGAACATGCTACAGTTGGCGGCGGCGTGGGCCCTAGGCACTTTTTTTTTTTTTTGGCGGTGTGGTTCTTCACTTGCTGTGCGCGCAGCTGCTACCAAACCCCGCCGCTACCGTGCGCACACGCGGCGTGTCTCTTTTGATTCCAACCGGCACATGACGCACCGCAGCTTTGTTTTGTGGCGGTGGCCGGTACGGGCTTATCCTAGCATAGCCGACATCGCCAACGACGCCGAAAAACATTGCCCGATATTCGGAGAGCCTAGAGTGCTTGTAGCTTAATAGTGACCGTTTGTCTTCTTGGGGATGAGGGCTGACACGTTACTCGAATAACCTAACTGGTGAGGGGTGATCAAGTGCTTGGGTGTGTGAGGTGCGTGCAAGAGAGGCGTGTGTAGCCCCCCCCCCGATACCCAGGCTGGTCGGCGACTTCGCTGAGGGTATGGCCCGCGAGAGGGGTGGCTCCTCTCCGGTTCGGCGACCCCCCCCCCCCCCTAGCCAACTTGCCCTAGCTGGGAAGACTATCAACGTGGGCATTGCTTCGGGCTTTGTTGGCTCTGAGCGCCTACAGCTGCTATTGTGTAGCGCCTACTGCTTCCATTGTAGAGTGTGCTCATGGACACGTGGTGAGGCCAAAACCATGCGTTTTATTTTGTCGTGTTGGGGATCCAGGGCTAGTTGGCTGGGTTCTTAGCCCCTCCCCTGGTTTCATCGTGAGTTGCGTTCTCGTCCTATCTGTGTTGTGATTTCCAGCTGTACATAATGTGATTTTTATTCCGGCAGTAGTATCGTTCGTATCGCTTGGTGACGAGAGGAACGCTGGATGTGTCCCCGTTTTCTTACCGGCGACGTCCGTCAATGGCAAGCTCAGCGCGGCAATGTCTGCAGCAACCAGAAGGCAGTGTTGGCACCTCCGCACGGAGGTTGCCTAGGCTCCTGCAGGGAGGCACACTACAACTGTTCCCTGATACTACAATACAAGCACGTCGAAGGAATGGAGCAGACCCATGCCCGCCTATGTACCCGTGAAGGGCAAAACAAGTAGCACCCCAAACTCGGCTGTGGTTGTGCGGATGGACGCCTTTGGTTCCGAGAACAGCGAACCGGAATACACCTCGAGGGATGTTTTGTGTTGTTGCCATCCCATTGATTCTGGACATCGGTTTGTGTTGCCTCTCGGTATGCATACGATTTCGGACGCACCAGGCGGGCTTCGGTTCAGAGCATCGAGTGCGCCAGCTCTTAGCCACCACAACGTTGTACTCCTCCACGCTTCAGCGGTTAAGTTAGCTTTTAAGTCATCTGAAACTAGCACAAAGAAAACATCTTCTAATAGGACTACATGGTACACCTCACGAGAGACAAGAATGGTGCTGCAGCGTTTGTCGGCTCGCCGTGGCAGAAAATGCCGCCACCGCTGCTGGGCACCTCTTGTTGGCCCATGCACCCCCTCTCGCGGGTGCTCAACTTTTACGTTCCCGGAACGCCTTACAGAGTCTGCCCCCTATTTACAAAACCTTTCCGTGCGAAAATATCGCACGCCCAGCACGCGCGCGGCACACGATCATCAATCGTTTCCCCTCTCTGGGCTGCGCAAGCTTGATCGATCGCGTCCTCACCACGCTTTCCGTGCCACGGCAGCCCGTTTCGCACAACACCCTTGACACAGTTTCTCTCTTACACACGCACGTGATACATGAAACCGTTGCGTGCATGTCCGAACCGCAACAAACTATACGACACGTGAAACTCCTACTTTATCTCTCTCTGTCTGTATGTACAACACCAAACGTTCCGATTTCCACGCTTGCGCCCTCAAGAAAACACACACTGAGCCCCTCATAATTTCGACGAGAAAGAGGTGACGGGTACCCCAAAGTGGGCGGTGACCCTACCCCGCAAAACTGCAACGAGTGGCATGTATATCCACCCTTTTCGGCCCCCTTCTATCGACACGCGCGTGCGCTGCTGCTGCTGTTTTTTGCCTATTTACGGCACCGCGTGTTGGTATCCGCCTCGCATTGGCAGGTCCCGCTTATCATACTACAGCGGTAAGAGTACTAAACGTTAATCCCAGAAACGCTTCAGACTGACTCTTGCTACATTGAACGTATCAAAAATTGATGTACATCAGCCCCAACCCGTGCCCCCCTGAAAGAGGTCGGCCCTTCTCGCATCACCCTCCACATTATTTTGGTTCAATCAAATACAAAAATACACGCTACAGACCGATAAATTACCCGTGAAGCGGTGAGCATGAGCGCACCAACTTTCCGTTTTCCCCACTCTCTGGCAAACAGTCTAGCCGCGGTCCTTCCGCTTCTTCTCCGTGAGTCAATTAGACGCATCAAGAACAGAGTGAGCTCAACAACGTCAACCAAACGATCCAAACCAGGTACACGCAACCATGCACAAAATCCCCAACTTCTTCTTCGCGCCTCTTGTCGCCGCTCTAGTGCCACCCTCCCCGACGTCCCATCACACCACCACCACCACCACCACCTTCGCCACCATCGCAATTATATCACCGTGGCAGGCGGAATTCCCAGGACACCTCCACGACGCCTGCTCACCGATCGTACCTCTGCCCCAAACAGGTAGGTCCCTCGCACCTTCTCTCGCAAAGGATGCTTCTACACGATCAGCGCTGCTGTGTGGTGAAACGTCCCGTGGGATGCCTGTCTCCCCATGCTACGACCGGATGCATCAAGCCAGCCACAGGGCCCTGCAATGTCGGGCGGTACAGCCGTAGTGGCAGCAGCAGCAGCAGCAGCAGCAGCAGCAGCAGCAACGATTCTTCTTGGCGTAGGTATACTCCGGCCTCTTCTCCTCGAAGAGCCGGCCTCCTTCCTATCCACAACGGATTTCGCCCCGCTCGATGGAGGTATCCTCCCGTCCGTTTCAAGCTCAACACGGACTCCAGCGTCCAAACAGCATTCGTCCCTCGTCGCCTCATCCCCTCCTCTCTGTCGTTCTCTCTGTCGCGCGCGCTTCTTCCTCTTGTTCGCTCGTCATGACTCCTTTCCAGCCACGCTCCTCTCCTTCCTCACGTTAGCATCACTCGGGCATAGGCACGCGTTCGAACAACGGGGTTTTAACCCCCCCCTCTCTCACTTCTCAGCCCCCCTACCCCCGGAGCGCCCCCCCCCAAAAGAACCTCCTTCACTCTCCTTCTTCTCCTCCTCCCTCAGGCTCGTCGGCATCGTCGTCTTCCACGTTCACCAGGCCCGCCGCGCGGTCTGCCTCCCACTTGTCCTCGAGGTACCTCCTGAGGACCAGGCCGTGGTCCGCCGGAACGGTCTCCAGGGCGGCGGAGATGCGCCTGGCCACCTCGATTCTTGTGTCCATGACCGACTGGCCGATCTTTTTTTCGTGTGGTGTGGAGTAGGCGGGGCCGTGCCGTGCCCGCGTGTGTTTGGTTTTTCGTGTGCGCGTGTGGGGCGGGGGTAGGAAGCGAGAGACAGAGGGCAAACCGGTAGGGCGAGTCAGATCACGATACCAGCAACTGGGATGGTCACGAGAACCACAAACGATACACGATGACGGGCAGGGAGAGGATGGCTGAAAAGGGTAATCAGAACTGAAGCCAATGATTCCGAAGCATAGAACATGTCTGGGCACAGCAGTACACGCACGCTGCTGGATGTGGCACCGAAAGAGGCCGAAAGCAGGAGTCAGGTCGATACTCCTGGATCATTTCGTGCTGTATATGAAGTAGCACGTACACTAACAGAGACTTCTTGCTTTGCAGACGAACCCAACTGCCATCTTGCAAGCAAGTCTCTGCAACGTTAGGAATTTTCGAACCATTTCTGCTTCTACAGCACAAAATATCGTTATGAGCAACTCCCCATCAAGACAACTTGGACAACGCCTTGTCAAGTTGTAGTCCCATCAACACCGCCACACAAAGAAGGGAGCTGCCTCCTTGCTTTGGCGGTCTGTCTGTCCTTCTGTCTGCCTGCCTGCCTTCCTGCCTGCTTGTCTTTGTCTCTGCCTCTGTGTCTGCATGTGCTTGTGTGTGTCTGGAAGTCTGTCTGTCTGTCTCTCCCTCTACGTCTCTTGTGCGCATTTGTGCCCTGTCTGTTGGTCTCTCTCTCTGACTCTGTCTGTCTGTCTGTCTCTATCTTTCTCACACACCCACCTCTGCTGGATCCACTCCAACGAGATCGTTCTTCTTGAAATCAAACGTCTGCACCTTCTGTCCCATCAGCATTTCTTCCAGCATCCGGTTGCCCCTGACAAAAAAAAAACAGAAGCACGCAGCATCGGCAAAAACAAAAGCAATGACGTCAATACACACTAGGCTACGTTCACGACAATGGTAGTCGTGACGAAGGAAATCATTGTGAGACGCTTGCTTGCGAACCTGTCATAACGCCGTTGTCTGCACTCTGCCCGCGTCATTACACGCAAACCAGTCCGAGCAACCGAGAGAGTCTACCACCGCCGGTTTCCCGCTTCTCGTCCTCAAGTTCGCTCTGTCTCTCGTGATTGTGTGCGGTGAGTGACGACAACAGCGTGGAGGAAGACCGACAGCAATACCTCGGCCGATAAGAATAAAACACACGCCCCATGCCCCATGATTCCTTATCCCCCCCCCCCAAGTGTGCATGACTGAGCTGGGAAAAGAAGGAAGAAAAGTACAGGGAGGTGTTTGAGGCATGGGATAGCCAGGAGAAGACGTTAACTGCACTGGGGCATAGGAAGTGGGTTGAAAAGGCGGGAAGTGATATCGGTAGGATAGATAGACTACGACATTTTTGAGCCACCTTTGGCAAAGTAGGAAGGAACGATTGGCCATCGAACAATACTCCGTCCTCTCGAGGACGCGTGGTCAATGGTCTAACCGCTAAGGCATGCAAACAGAAGAGTACCCCCCCCCCCCTCGCCCCCCCTCCTCGATGTTTGCCATCGGGGTTGGGTTTTCGTCGCTTGGCAGCGATGTTGTACAACAAGCCGATCACTTCGTGAGCTCGGCAACCAGGTTACCGCTTTTTTCTTGCCTCTTTTCATTTTTTTTGGCGGTAACCATCACGGTGGCCGAGTAGATCATGTTGTGCGGGGTCGATAACCCTCATTCCGCACAAAAGGGAATGATCGCACCACGCTGGGTTAAATTGGTCAAGCACCCTCGAGGTAGTTACACCGTGCTTACAACTCTCTCTGGAAGTGAAAGCACCAGAAAATAAATTAAGTCATTCGCAGCTGTCATCTGTGCGCAAGGAAGTAAGCACAAGATGCCGAACACCCTTAGCAGGATGCAGCGCACCCTTCATGCGACTCGCCGAATACCTCACGGCGCTTCGCGCTTGGTGATGTGAGAGCCTGGTCCGGTGACAACCCGGCATGCTCCGCCCCGGCTTTGTAGGGATACGAGGTCAATGGTCTAACGACTACGGCATGCACGACTATCAGTACACCCCCCCCCCCCATCCTCCTCCTCCTCGCCCAGCAACCCTGAAATGCTCATCGCTCACACACACACACAACTATCCATCCTAACGGCAGGATCCTTTCTCCTCCCCTCCGCTTATCCCACCTGGTCTTGCGGTCCTCATCCGTTCCCCCCATGCCCACCCCCGCGGCCCCAAACGACGCCTTGACCCGCTTTCCCCTCGCCCCCCGTTCTTCTCCAATGCCACCGTCGCCGCCGTTGTCCGAAGGGAAGGGGGGAGGGGATCCTAGGCTCTCGTCCCCGGGTGCGGCGGAACCGTACTTGGAGTTGGCCTTCGCCCAATAGAGGAACTGCTCCATCCAGTTCCACCCCATGTCGTCCCCGTCCACCCGCATGCGTTCTTGCACGACGAGGGCCGCTGATGGACCGACCGACAAAAAACACTTTTTGGTTTAAAAAACAAATGTGGACGTACATGTGTAAATGCACGGATAGGTACTATGTACTTCGAAGTAATATCTTTCTTCTTTTATTTTTTTTGAAGAAGACAAAGGCACAAGGTCTTCATTTTGGAAAAAAACAAAAAAAATCGACCGCCGTTTCGTCTGTGTCTCCATCCTCACCTTCTCTCGGTCGACAAGGTCAACACACGCCGTCGGACACAGACAAAAAAAAGGGAGTTACGCAACGCTGGCTTGTATCACGTCCATCAGAGTGTAGGCCCGTTTATCGACCTGGTGGTACATCGAGTATGCGGCGCCTCGAAACGCTATGCTCGGACATGCTGTTAATGTTGTGACGTTTTCGTTTGACTCAATTGCCTCCATTACCCGGAAAAGCAGCTGCAATCTTTGTTCGTGAAATTGGAAGACGGCACGACCTCAGAACTATGCATTCCACAAATAACACTCCGAAAAAATCAACGTGGCAAGAACCTACCCGCAAGGGAGGCACCACAACAACGGCAGGTACAGGCGCAAGGAACCGCGCGGTTATTGCCTCCTCTCCTCCGCCCGACCGCATGAACGGAAATGCTTCTTCTTACCACCTAAAAAATAAAAAAATAAACTTGGAGACGGCGGTGGCCACGGCACCGACGACAACAAAACCGAGCTCGATCGTGTTTGAAACCCCTTTCCTCACCGATCTCCGTCAAGTAGCCGACCAGCGTCTCGTAGTTGTCGGAGCGTAGGGGGCTGCTGTCCCCTCCGAAGGCCTGCCCGTGGTCGTACGTCAACCTCCTGCGGCTGCCGCCGCCGCCGCCCTGCTCCACCCCGTCGTACCCGGGCCCCGCCTCCCTGGCTCTCCTCCGTCTGTCGTTGTCCAGGCGGACGATTTCGTCGTTCTCGATCTGATTTTTTTTTATTTCCATGATTCACGGTTTACGATTTACGACCGGCGGCGGCAGCGGCGGCACTCAAGAGGGCAGCGAGCGGTGAACAGCCAGGAAGAAGAAGACAGCAGCCATAAATTGGGGCAGGAAAGAGGAGAGATGAGACGCTACCCTACCTCCCCCCCCAAACGTGAGAATGACATAAGCATGGTGCTGAAAATGGTAGGCCCTTAATCCCACACTAGCCCCGAACGGAAGCATTTTTTCTTTTCTTGTTTTTTTTTTTAGCGAAGCAGGACCCCAAAAACAAACAGTCGCCGATCGGTTATCGACCGCTAACTAGAGGCGAAACACACACCAGCGATCCCAGCACACTTACGGCGGACGCGAAAGACAGCAGCGCACCTACAGCGACTAACACGAGACACAAGGCTGGCCCTGACACCCACGAGATCGGGCCCCTCAAAACAATTCAACAAGCAGGCGTCCTCGTCTTCGACACCATCCTCGTGTCTGAGGCGGGTCGGTACTCCCATGTGAGACACAAGGACGACTCGTCCCAACGCTCATCACGTCAGCTTACGGCAACGGGGGGAGACTTTTACTGCCAGTTTCTCAGAAACAAATACGCACAGCCTTACAGCAAAGACTCAACTATCCTTTCGGCAAAATGCCCAAAAATCGAAGGCATATGTTGAGGTCTTTACAAGTGAGCGCTGCTTGTTCCGCTGCCGCGCCGCGCGCACCTCGATGTTCTTCAAGTCTTCCCGCCACTCCAGGGCTAGCTGTTCCCGGATGTCCATGAGCTTTTTCGCCAGCTCCGCCGGCTGCACGACAACGCTCCTCTTAACGGCCTTCAGCTGAGGGGGGTAGTCCAGGGCCACCTTCATCTCCTCCTACCATCGTAGCAGTGATTGTGTGAGCGCGTGCGGGGGGCGGGCGGGGGGGGGGGGGGGGGAAAGGGGTCCTCCTACCTGCCTCCCCCCCGGGAAAATTAAAAAGGGGCCCCAATATTATGTACTGGAAAAATTTTCCCAAAAATCTTTTCCCAAAAATATCCGGACCGAACAAAATCCGTTTTGGAAAATGATCATTTTCCATCCCCCCACCGGCCCCCCAAACTTTTTTGTCAAAAAACAAACAGGCCTGTGGCCCAATCCCTCCTTTTTGGCCACCCTCTTTTAATAAAAGGAAACTTCCAAGTCAAAGGGGTCCCCCAAGAAAAATTTTTCCTCTTAATAAAAAGGGGCAAAGGGCCCCCCCCCCGAACAAGTTTCCCATCAATGGGTCAACCCCCCACCCCCTACACAAAAAAAACTCTTTTGTCCTGACACCCCAAAAAACGTGAACTACTGCTTGATTTCTGAACTATTTTCCAAGCTTAAATTTTTGCCCGTCAAACTCTAAAATAACTAAA